TTCGCTTTATACACGTGGGGGTTGTCGCTATCACATCCCCTTCTTTAACCGGGTGTGGTTGAACGTTTTTAAAAAAACTAAAGAAGTTTGTCCCCCCCTGCCAACATTCTCGAGGGTTTGGGATGACAAATTCCCCCCTTTTAGGGGGCGGTCTTTTCTCAAAAAAAAAGTTAACCGGGGTTTTCCTTTTTTTTGGGCCCTCGGGGCTGGGCCGTAAACCCCCCGGTTTTGGGTGTATAAAAAATCAAAACTGGTTCCCCCCTGAAGGATCTGGGGGGGGGGGGGCCCCCCCCCCCCCCCCCCCAAATTAAAAAAAAACAACAACGAACAAACAAACAAACAAAACAAACAGTTGTCTTGCCGAAAAACAGAAGCAGACAGGAGAGTAAAATATCTTACTATAAGATCCTGCTGAAAGGATTAGTTATTAAAACTTACCACAAAGTATTTGTTTGACACAATGATTGCATGATTCAAGGGGACTGTCACTACTAGCTTTCATGTGTTATGGTAAACGTAAAGGACTATAATACTACGTTGTCTTAGATCTGGAGCCACTATGACATCTACATTTGGACATCAGTAATGGTACAGGTAATGAGAGAATGGATTTTAAAACACATAATAAGTCTACGGTACTGACTTGCCCAATCTGCTCAAGGACCTCTGAATAAAACCCTCTTTCCTATCTAGATCTCAGCTAGTGCGAGAGTCAGGCAGCGCGCAGCGCAGGTTGACCATGGTTCCACTGCGAGAGAGGGCTCCTATCACTACATGTATCAGTATCAGGCGTGTGTTGCCGCCCACTGAGCAGCCTCCATTACTGTCTAACCTTGCTCTCGTCTCTCTTACCAGCTTGTTTACCGCTAGTCGAGGTGGCAGTCGGTGGTATCCCGTTATACCGCCAGCCCCGTTGTACCGCCAACTTTATGCTCATCCCAGGGTAGGTGGTACAGTCCATGCCGGCTTTAAGCACGGTCATCGGGAGAAAGCTTAAGCGTGCTTAAAGCCGAAGCGTGCTTAAGGGGGGGGGGGGGGGCTACACCTGGAGGCTATCTCGCTTATTACTGGACCGAATTTTACCACATTTCACACATATAACAAGCATAGTAAGGAGTCTTGAAATCCGCAATCAAATTTGAGAAAAAAGTTTCGTTTCCATGGATACGCCGCCATATTGGATTTTATTGACATGTCTTACGTAATGAATACCGCACTTATCACTCATGGAAATTGATTGGTTTTTTGCATGCCTGTTCACAAACATTAGATCTAAAAATTTGTCTGTTGTTTTTTTCCTAATCGAATTAGAAAATTTTTAATGAATTTTTTCCTGAGGTAGCGTTCAAGTTTGGGAAAAATCCGTGAAAATCCACACTTCAGACACCACCAACAAAAATCTATTCCATATATAAAAAATTCAACAAACAAATTTTTAGCATTACCTCTTCTCTTCATTCTGTGAAAATTTCATGAAGATTGAAAGAAAAATGGTGGAGTTATTTTAAAAAGTATAGAGAAAAGTAGCATTTTGAGCAAACGGCCGATAAAGAAAAATAAAATACTGACTTTATGAGGAAATGGTGGTTACAAACATGCCCAGTATGGGAAAAAATACGATTTTTGGGGGTATTTATGCCATGAAATAGTTGTAGGAGAGGCTGGGGAAGCTAAAAATGCCTACACCTCAAATTCCATGATTTTGAACCGAATTTTGATTTTGGGGGTGTAGCCCCCCCCCCCCCCCCCCCCCCACCCTTAAGTGCGAAGTAGACATAATCCAGAGATTTTCATGTAGAAAATTCCCCGTGCCATTTCCTTTTGTTTGTAAGTAGGCCTATAGCGGTCCCACAAAAGTGTGCACTGTTATTTAGACACTCGCCATGGTAGTTTTTGTTCGCTTGTTTGTTTTTATTTTGTGGTCGAATGGGAAGTGAAAACTTAATTTAGACGGCCAGTCACGATACAGCACACTAGGCCTACTGTAACACACTGCCTGTGTATACCACTGCCCGCTGTGCCACTCACACCACCGCCTTCATCCCACCTCGCGCGTGATACGCAATCAGGATTAATGGATAGCGATGGTCAAAGGTGAAATCGCAGCCAGCCTCCCTTTCTCATCTCCCCGACTCTCTCTTTTTTTTTCCTTTTTTTGATCGTGTGTAGCTTTGCCCTAGGCCTAGGCTAGATCCTATGTCCGCGCGAACGGCTGTGTGCATCGCTCTGCCTTGCTCTCCGCCCGTGTGAGTGTGTGTGTCCATCACTTGCGTTCTTTGTGTTTCTCTTGACAAATTCCACTGTTGCGGTGTAAACTGTGTTCGAACTTCGATGGGTCATCATGAAAATATTGACTGCCTTGTAAATGAAGCGTGCTTGAAGCCGAAGTTACCGTGCTTATAGGCGTGTAATTTATATAGCAAAAATTCGGTAAGAGCCGTTTAGCGTGCTTGAGTCCGAAACATGCTTAAGGCCGGTGTGCTTATAGCCGGCACGGACTGTATAACGAAGTTTGACTGAAGGCCTAGATCTGAAACATCGCAAAAGACCGTCAAGAAGACTGGCACCAGAAGAAGCCATCCCTCCCAACCCCCAAACTGAGAGAACCGTCATTTTACATCATTACATCTTACATCATTTACATCTTTATCTTTATTGTCCAGATCCTGGCACATTGGTTTGGTGTTCCACCACGAGTACACACACACACACACACACACACACACACACACACACACACACACACACACACACACACACACACACACACACGCACGCACACACACACACACACACACACACACGTACACACGTGCACACACATGCACACACAAGTAGGCTTACAATCACATCATCACATGCATAATATAAATGAGCAGCAATATAAACAATAATAATCGTAAGCTAGATACACACTCAATGTTATTTTGATGCATGCTCTAAGGTCGTAAGTACACTAAACAAGATGGTTAAGATGGAAGCATTTTGATAGATGATGGTAAAAATGACCTTCTGTATCTTTCTTTGTGCCTATAGTGTACATCTATGTTACAGATCAGAAGCATGGACCAGAACAACATTACAACAGAAGTTACCCCTTCGCAACCCTAAATGGTTTAACTTGCGTCGTTGGGGGCGTAAAATAAGATATAACTGTCTAAAGCATTGGGGATTTTTAAAAAGAACAAACAAACACACAAAAAAACAACAGAAAAAAATTCTGACTTCAATAGAATTAATAATCACATAGGCCTAGGCCTAGGGCCTAATTTCGATCTGCGAACATATTTAGCCTACTTTGTGGGGAAAACTGGCAAACCGTGTGGCCAACAGTGACACAAGCCAATGAAATTGCAGAGTGGCGCTTTTAAAGTTAAGATGGCTGCGTGCGTTTGTTTGTTTATGATGCTGACGGATGGATTATAATTTATATGTATTTTGTATGTGAAAACAATGGATTGCTAAACCATCCGCATTGTCAACAAGTTAGTACCACAGAGTAATGAGAACTGACAGGTGTAGATTTGTTGGGGGAAGTGCGTTCAAGTGTAATTCCAGTACTTAAACACCATATGCCATGCAATAGTCGGGCGAATGGATGCTGAATTGAATCTGACTGCTGAGGCAGGGGAGACGCCCTTGATTTTTTAGACTCGGCTTCGGGTTGCAATTCAGAATCTGGTCAACTGGACAAGAGTAGAATCTAGATCTAGATAGTAGATAAATCTAGATCTAGATTAGGTGTCCATTCATTAAGAAAACAGTAATCCATGCTGGTCAATACGTTGTTGATCTTGCATTCATCATGTCTGACTCTTCCAGACCAAAATCAACTGGTCACGGGCAAGCCAAGCGTTCCACATCTGGTGACAATGTGAAGGTGATTTAAATTTTGTTTACTTTAACATTTATATTATATATTATGTTATAGCCTTGCCTCTAGATTTAGATTGTATATATAATATATAAAAGTTCTAGATAAGTAAGGCAGGCCACCGCTATTCTCACCCCACCGCTATTCTCACCCGGGGTGAGAATAGCGCAGGCAAGCCTTTTGTTTGGCTATTCTCATCCGGTGTGTGTGCGTTCACCGCCTAGCTAGGGCCCTAGGCCAACCAGGGCAGCGTCCACCCTGAACCACAGAATTCTACACTGTGATAACAGAATTTTAGTATTCTGTGCCGTGAACAAACGTTCCAGCACTCTTGTTTTACTCTGGCTAAAACTAAAAGCCAAGCGTGCAATTAAATTGTCTGTTGGTAGTCTGTGTCTGTGGGCAGTGGAGAGAGAGAGAGAAAGAAAGAGAGGACGAGTAGCGTGAGAACTTCTGGGCCAAAGAAAATGGCAACCCACGTAGTTCGGCTCGATTCGAAAAGTTATATAGCCGTAGCCTCTTTGTAGGCAACCAAATTAATTTACTTTTGACCTTTGTTTAACATCATTTTTTAACTTTGTTTTGGTCAGTTTGATCGTCCACACCGATAGACAGAGAGGCCTATTCAGAAGGCAACCTCTATTCTCACCCGGGGTGAGAATAGTGCAGGCGGGTCTTGTGTGGCTATTCTCACCCGGTGCGCGTGTCAACAAATTTTGCGTTCACCCTAAA